AATACATGTAAGGTAGTATGACGGAAAATTAGTTTCATTAAGAGAAAAAGACAGTATCAGAACAAGAATCTCTGAGAAAGAAGAAAAACTTTAAAAAAGGACAAAATTGCAAAGACACAGTTTTACCTTTTAAATTTTGTTTTGTTCTTTTTCCTTAGAGTAAGGCAAAAATATTTTAGTATTTAGGAAATATATAAATGATTAAATGATTATCTTGTAACCATAGTAGGTAAACTTAAAGAATAGTTCCTCACCCATGTGAAGCAAGTAATTTTTCTAAACATCTAACATCTAGGAAATGCTCTTTTTCACCTGTAATCAAGTACTGTCATACTGAAACATAAGGATAAACATGCAGCTCAGGCCAACCTGCTTTTTAGTTTTTAATCACAAACTAAGAAATTGTTGCTGTTGACTGAAATGAAAGTAGCAGCTAACATTAATTACACATTAAATAATCTTTAATTAGGGGAGAAGAAATAAAGACCTTTTTTAAATGAGTGAATTTAAATAATGAGGTTAGTATTTAAATTCAGTTGTCATGCTTCAGTAATATACCACAGGTGTTCTATTTCCTTAACTATATACATAGCCTCCCTTCAACCATAGCTTAATTATCATCAGTCCATGCAATAAATAAATGTAAGATTATCATGTAGGTATTCAGAGAGATTTCAGGAACTACAAAAAAAGAAATTATTCAATAATGAGTAATTAAAACATTAGGGAAAAATCAGCTCTATTTGTAGAAATCATATATAGACATATCACACATGTGTATGTAAAATACAGGTCAGATGAAGAAGCTATAGACTATGTTAATAATTATAGAAAAAACTAATTTTTCCTTTCCTGATGGCAAATTTCAATTGGCTCTAGTTTTCTCTTTTATAGCATAGCTTATTTAAAATAAGTAACCTTAATTAATGCTTATCATTTATCACTTTCTTTAGAGTTATAACAGAATTTTCCCTCTTTGTCTCTCTAGCACAACTGTACTAAGAAAAAAATTAGACTTCAGTTACACTTTCCATGAGATATTTATTGATTAATTACGTCTACTTACAACAACGGTGACTACTAACAGATTCCTCAACAAAAGGGGTGTTGTGGTCTTTTGTACTTTGCTTTAGATCACTGGTTTGTTTCGATTCAAAGGTGCAGTTAACTTTCAAGTGTACATATGCAGACTCAACAAGTTTGTGGATCACCTATGGGAAATTTTTAATTACAGATCTGGTACTTGTTACTACCAGCATGTTTTCAATGTCCCTTTCTGCTGCCACCATGTACCATATATAGATAAGGAACATCAACTAATATAGTGGAAAAGAGTTTGTAATGCTTCTAACTTATTTAATGAAGCAAATGTATTCCAATAACATGTTTCTCTTCCAAGTACTGAATTTTTTAATGAAAATTTTAGACAATACTAAGTATCCAGAAAAGTTGATCAATGAATATTGTCCAAACTCCTATGTGCTAAAACAGTGTTATATCTGAAAACAGCTGGATGACTGAACAAAATTTTCAGTCATCACTGCAATGTTTTGGCATTGGGTAACCAAAGTAAGGAAACAGATAACTTAAGAAACTAATGAGATTAAAATACCTACAATTAAAGGTTTGAGTTCCTTGGATTATAAAGTAACTAAATTTGTAACTAAATGAAAAAAATATATAGCAAGTTCAACATAGTCTCTCAAACTCAATGTAAAACTGTCAACATGCTTTTCTACAGCCACAATTGCTAAATATTCAGGCTATTTTCCTGAGCTACAGAATCGAAGAGTGCTTTTATGCCATGTGAAAAACATGTATAATTTTTTCCAAAATGGATGAAGTTTTCTCTTATTTAAATATCGTTTTATTTATATAATATTATTGATAAGCTTATCTGGCTAAACAACTATAACTTTTGCTATTAAGATTATTTTACACTTACCTGAGTATTAAAAGTTTTAACTGCTTCACCAATAGGCAAACGAAAGCATTTATCCAGCTCCTAGCTTAAAAGTATAGTCTTGAGCTAGTTTAAAACTTTTAGAAATGATAAATTATGAATTATATACAGCTTTAGCAAATAGTACAAAAATTACTAAGTATTTTCATAACATATTTTGACTTGCGTGTGTTTAGGAAACTTGTTTTATTCCTTACTTAGTGGGTTTAAAAAGTGGATATGCTCTATTACTATATGAGCAGGAAACATCTGAATCAAGACATTCTAAGTTTCAGTTTTAGGACTGGTATAATTCAATTTTAGGATTAATAAATAATTTGAAAATATTCTCTTCAGGGAAATTATTTTGGTGGATCTTTGTGACCTCTCAGTACTTTTAAAAATCAGCATACTTTAAACATTTTATATACACAACTAAAGAATAACTTCCTAACTACAGATAAGGCTTAAGTTGTTGGGTCCAAGGGCAGTTAATTTTTCTGCTAGAGCAGAAAAAAGCTATTTGTCACTCAAATATTTGACTCAAGTAGCAGAGGCTTGTATACTGACGTTCTACATTATATATATATATATAGAAACTTAGTGCTAATAGAAAGTGCCTCCTGAGTTTCAAAAAGCTGTTATTTATCTAGGGGCACATGATCAACAGCAAACAATGTGAAGTCGGTAAAGATGATGTAATATTTAAGTCTTTAAACATAAATTTTAAGGAAAAGAGAAGTCAAATAATGGACACAATAACACAGATGCTTTAATAATTATGCCAAACAAACACAAAAGGATATAATTTCAGTGAAAGCACATTAGAAGAAAAAGAATCACTTCACAAACTAAGACACTCATGACAGACAAAATGTAAAAAGGATATAGAGGAAAGAGGATATAGTTACAAATTTTGCATTTGTTTCTTAAAAATACTCAAGATTATGTCTATTTTATTTGGTAAGTTTTAAAAGCTGCATTCAAACTGCAGCTTTTGAAATAATGAAAGAAAAAGACAATTTGTCCAATAATATTCAGAGAAAAGTTAATATAGCTTTCTAAAGTCTGTTATTTCTTGGGAATGCCTGAACTCTAGAAAAAGCCTACTCTTCAAAATTACATATATATATATATATATATAAAATACATTTTGACTGTGCACTCCACATGCTGTTAATCATAATCTCCAAACACTTCTCTATACACTGGGATACTCTATAATAGGGACTCAGTCACTGTCTGCTTTGGATTGGAATTCGTGATCCTTTTGAAGACCAGCCATCTGATATATTAATACTTCTATACAGATTTTTAACAGCTTCCTCAAATAACTAATGACTAGTTTAGATGCATAATAAGACTGTTACATCCAAAACTGGAGTAACTTCATAAAATTTATTTCATTTATATTTCTAAAACCTTTTCCCATTTAGTACTCTTACTACTTTCTCAAATGTCCAAGCCCAAATGCAGTTAAAAGCAAAGATAACAATATGAAAATCTGAACAATGATTTCTTAATGCAATTCAGATACCTGTGTATTATGGTTAAATTTTAATTATTTAGGAAATATGTATTTATGTTGTGGATTACTCAGGCTCTGTCCTTTCTATGTCTCATGTTTATATTTAGGGAATTTTTTCTTCAAAATTGATTCCACCAGAAGGGAGGAAAAATAGATGTAACTTATCCTATGAAGACTACCATTTACTATTAGCTCAAGTTTAGTAGATAAGCCATTTGATCAATAAAAACTCTTTTAACCTCTATTATTATAGATAATTTTAATTCAAAGGCTTAAAACTGGTAGCCCGAAGACAGGATGAGACCTGAAGATACTTTCTGTTTAGCTTCTATAGTATTAAAAATATGTAATCCAACATTTAAAACTCAGATGTTATCTAAAAAGCTAGATATTTCAGGCTTTCTCCCCGACCTTCCACCCCTAAAATAAAAAAAGACTGGGCAGTATTTGGCTAAACCGTCATACAGAAACAACTGGCGAGGGAAGAGTAGAGGTTTTCCTCTTTCAACAGGACACAGGCTCTTCAATTTACCACAGTCCCCACCATTCACTGTTGTCACTAACATCAAGGGCCAATGTCTGTATCCATTTATTGTCAAGGTTTATCTTTTTTTAAAAATTACTGATAATATTTACTTGGACCCACACTATCCAATGTGAAAAATAAAATAAAAAATATGCCAAAAGGGCCATGTGTTTCTAGAACACATGAAAGAATAATACTGTATGTCCAATATGCAAATAAAATGTCTCTGCCAAAATATCACAACTTAAAATGCCATTATGAAATGAACCACAGAAAAACCTTATTTGTGTTACATACCAAGAACATACCAAAATTTGAATGTCTGATTCACAGTGATTCATATAAGATGATAAACAAATGGATTTTGTGACACAAAAGTATTATGAAGCCTTAATATCATAGACTTATTTTCATTTAATTAACAACCATATAGGCTATCTGAAAATTATTGACATGTCATTTGTTGCTAGGGTCTAAAAACGTTTTACAGAGAAAAAAACTGCTGTTTACAATAATTTATTAAATTTCTAAAATGAGATCTCTGATCTCTGCAATTCCTCTGAACTCATTTCTAAAGGCAAATTTTACTAGTTTTAAAAAGATTATTCAAAGTAAACCTGGCATCTAGATAAAATAATTTTACTTCTGTAAACAGTGTTCATATTTTAAAGCTACTCCTGGTGTATATATATAATGAACATAAAACTATTTTAATATTGTTTATTTTTAAAATGTTCATAGTAAGAATGCTTAAATCATACCATAGGGCTGTGAAGTTTTTGTTTTTGATACTGATCAACACTGGCAGCCCTTCAAATATTAGTCCCATTTAGTAAATTAACCATTTTGCATTTTTGAAACACTGAAATTTAATGTTGGCTAATTATTAATTTTATATGCCACTTATGAATTCTTTGTTCATTTTTCAAATATTTTGTTTTGCACTATAGTAAAGATTTTAAATTTTTCCCCCAGAGACAAAGCAAGTTTTCAGTTTTGTTTACCATTCTCATTGCTATAGTTCATCAGCATGCCACAAAAGACAGTCAAGAGCTTCTCATTGGCGGGATCTGTTATACTGCACAGTGACCTTAAATGGTCAATTACAATCTGTGCACCACCTGCTTGGTCAACTGCACTTCTGCCCTCATCTGTAAAACAAAGAGTTAAATTAAAAATAAAAGAAAAAAGAAATGTACCTTACAATTTAAAATACAAAACATGACAGTGTTATTCTTTATTTCATGAATAAATAGAAAATAAACCTAAGCAGGACATTAAATACGTCTTTTTGGAAAACAAAACAAAACAAAATAAATAAACATGGAAATGGTGGTGGGATGGGGAAAAGAGACAATCACTTTTTAAGCAAAATAAGATTATTCTCATTGGCATCATACAGGAGCTTACAGAACTTCCCTGTGTCCTAGGAGTCTATGATGTGAAAACTTTCACTCTCTCTTTCACAAATGACAGTTCTATGTAAGAGAAAAAAATAGAAACTAAGTGATATTCTATACATTTTTGTACCTCAGGTTAAAAAATCACTATAACTTTTTACACTGGGTTTCAAGGTCAGCTATTATCAAAGAAAACCATATGGTATAATTCTAGATCACAATATGTAATTCCTGAATATAGTACTAGGGTCTTTGTTAACGGCAGTCCTATAGTCCAGAGGCATATTCCCTTTTTTCATTCTTGATTTGTGTTTCTATTTGCCTCATTCCCCCTATTCTAGAGCACACCAATGTAATTCAACATTACAAAAAGTAGTCGAGTGATGGCCAAACATAACTTCCATTATGCATACATCTACACTGCATAAAACAGATGTCACCTAACTGTTGGAACATATAAATAAATAGCTTTAGAATACTTTCTAACTTTCGAACACAGGAATGAAAAGAAATGAAAAAAAGAATATAAAGAATCTGACTCCTTATATAACCAGCCTCTAGAAGAGGTCCAAGAGAAATGTGTGAGCCATAAATGTGAGCCACATGTGTAATTTAAATTTACAAATAGCCACATTAAAAAAGAACAGGTGAAAAATTAATTTTAGTGATATTTTATTCAATTAAATATATAAAATATTATTGACATGTAAATCAATAAATTATTAACAGAATATTTTATATTATCTTCTTCATAATGTATCTTCAAAATCTAAGTGTTTTCTAGTTTACAGTTACATCTCAATTCAGACTAGCCACATTTCAATTGCTCAGTAGCTAAATTTGGCTAGTAGCTACCAAACTGTACTGTTGAGCTATAAGAAGTATAGCTCAAAGATCAACAAAAGAAGAGACTCACAAAGGAATGAAGTTAGTTATGTTACAAAATCAAAGATTTTCATTTTCCAAATATAAGAACTGAAACTACGGTTATATCTTTATAACTGTTGCTGAATCATATAAGATGATACAACTTTATATTTGTAATTTCTTATGGTTTATATATACACACACAAATTATATAGTAAGACATCAGATATATTATGTTCATAATTTTGAAAAATTTTGAGGAAATCCATACTAAAATGAAACAAAACAGTTTTATCCACTTACTGTATTGTTATAAAGATGGAAAACATGACCCTATGCTAATCAACTCACCAAATCACAGAACATTCTTTTTTAGATAGAGTTTCACTCTGTTGCTAGGCTGGCATGCAGTGGCATAATCTTGACTCACTGCAACCTCCACCTCCTGGGTTCAAGTGATTCCCCTGCCTCAGCCTCCCAAGTAGCTGGGACTACAGGCGTGCACCACCATGCCCAGCTAACTTTTTGTATTTTAGTAGAGATGGGGTTTCACCATGTTGGCCAGGATGGTCTTGATCTCCTGACCTGGCAATCCACCCACCTTGGCCTACCAATGTGCTGGGATTACAGGCGTGAGCCACTGTCCTTAGCCAGAAAACTGTCATACCAACAGAGCAACTAGTTAGATAAACCAGCCAAGAACATTGGTCAAATCTCATTTAGAAATCTAACTCCTGAATTTTTTGTTTTCCATAACATAGATAAGTTATCTATCTAAATTACTGGGAAATTTCAATGTGGATGATGTCTCAGAAAACTGAACATTAGGATTACAAATCTAAATGTTCAGACCTTCAATAATATGAAGGTATAGTACATCCCATCCCTAAATTGCAAAGCTCAAAGAGTATTTGATTCTAATTCCTGAGTAAATATGGGCTTTTGAAATATAAGTCAATCACATATGCTTAAGACTTAGAAGAAGGCATCTTAGAGAACAGCTAAACCAAGCCTTGTATTCATATACTAGGAATATCATATACTAGAAAACTAAGGCTTAGAAACTATGTGGCACCTATTTGCAGTGAACTATGAGTGAAAGCTGGCTTCCTATCCACACTAAGCTAGTAAATGCTCAAACATTCAATAATTCAATAAATTGAAATACAAACATTCAACAAATTTGATGCAATAAATAAGAACACAATTACAACTCAAAGCAAATTACCTACTTGTGTGTCAGAGCCACAGTGCTTTTCTTCTGTTCCCTTCCTTCCATCCCCCCATGCTGTTTGAATTGTCTATAACACAGGTTTTTACTCATATTTTATTGAGAATCGTTGGCAAGGCATAAACACAGCCTCTATACTAGAAATTACATTATCAAATTTGAGAAGAAAAGCAAAGCATATATTACTATAATAGTAATCTCTGTTCAAAAAATATTCACCACCACTATAGAAATGATTACAGACTTTTTTTCTTTCTTTGGACAAATCAGCCTGAGAAGCAAAGTAAAAGCATTTTATTAAAATATTTAATAGAATTTATGGATTCAAAGAAATAAATAATATTGTGTTCCTTTAGCAAAACCAGTGACATAAGTTATCTTCAAAAGTATCTTACAAGTCACTCCTGTTTCCAGTAGTATTTGGAAAACAAATCATTTTAAATACCATAGCTATCACTGCACAAGTCCATATAAATTGTTTTTCTATAGTTAAGGTAACTGTTTATCTGTATGTTACCTTATCATAATAAGTATTACTGTTCACTTAAAAATAATTTTCAAAATGTTTATCCTAGACTTGTGTATCCCTAAGTGTAAGCTCATCTTTCACTTTTCTCCTAAGTAACAGCTAACTTGTGAAGCATTCTGAGCTATCACTTCTAAAAATATAATTTACATCTCTGTTTTCCTAATATAATTATGAAGCATCCAACCACTAAAAAAATGTAGCATACTCTTTAAAGTCCTATTAAATCCTTTAACACAAAGGCCTTTCACACAAAGTAGTTTCCAGTACAATAGAATCATTCTTCACATTAGGTAAGAGCAGGGCTTTAAATCTAAAGAGATACTGCACATCCGCTGTCCTTCTATAAACAAAAGCAAGCAGCAATAAAATTTGTGTCATGGTTATCATGTCTCACAAATGAGAAAAAAAATGTTACCAAGTTAAACACTATTATCAGGTACAAGTTATACACTAAGGGTGAGGAAAAGAAGTAAAATACAACCACTGAATCTAACTACTGTGGCATGTGTTACAGTGTATTCTAACTTTTGATTTTACTATGTTTCCTCCTTGCGGACAGTAAATGCCTACTATATAGTAGGTGCTTAATTTTTTAATGACTGGGGCCTTTTGACAGATATTGATTAATTATTCACTTTGAGGATGAATGATTGCAAGACAGAGACACACACATACATGCAGAGAGAAGACTTTGCTTAAAGAAATGATGATTAAATATCAGCATTCTGAACTGGAACTTTGGAAACCTAATTCAATGTTCCCTCATTATGCACTTTTTAAAAAAGTATATTGCCTATGCCATTAAGTCAACAAAGTAACAGCACTTTCTCAGCATTGATTTGATAATCTACTTTTAAAGACTCACTTGTGGAAATTTGTAGGTATCCTTTCCAACAAATCTTTTCAGAATATTCATGAACTTAACTATTAAGACCAACTTATATCACACAATAGCTGTCTAAAATGCACACTAAGCAGAGAGGATTTGGTAAGATCTATTTCACGTATAACCGATTCAGGGTTTAAAGTGGCACAGTATAACAACAATTTTCATATCCATATCAAGTAACTCATGGACAGTCATAAATCCATGCACTGAGAGTGAAACAAATGTCTAAAACTTGTAAAGAATACACTTTAAATAACTAAATTTAGAAGCACAACAAAGAATGAACAAGATTTTGGGAAGATGGCAAATAGGAAGCAGGACTAGCCTGCAGCTCCTAATCAGACAGAGCAGCATGTGAAGACTCACAACATGAACTTTTGCTCCAACAACTACTGCAGGAACATACCAGGAAATCTGAGAGACCCTCTGAAGGAACTGGATCACCACTGCAGGCTATCTGAAATGCTGAAAAATTGAGTATGCTTGTTTTCTCAACACAGAGGCTCATGTGCTTGGGCAAGTTCTCAGCCCTGGTCACCAGCTGCCTAGAAATAAACTCAGTGCTGTTGCGGGAGTTGGGGGAGATGGTGGGAGTGAGACCAACCTTTAGGACTGTGGCCTATGTGGGAGGTCGCGGAGGCCCATGACTGCCAGCTTTCTCTAACTTCTGTAGCAACCTGTATGGCTCAGCAGAGGCAGCCATAATCCACCTGGAAATATAACTCCATTGGACTGGGAAGCACATCCCCATCCCCAACAGCAGCCACAGCAAGCCCCACCCAAGGAGAAGCTGAGCCAGATATACCTATCCCTAACTCTCTACCCACCCTGGGAAGTGAAGACAAAGGTCATAATCTCTTAGGAGCTCTATGACACTGTCCACCACCTGAGAAACTATACTTAATCAGATATCCCTAAGGCTAGTTTGCATCCTCCATAGCTGATGCACTGCTAAAAGTGCCACCTCCTGGCTGGAGGCCAACCAACAGAAAAGCAGCACACTAAATAAAAACAGAACTGAGGACCCTCACAGAATCCACTTTACCCCCATGCTACCTCCACCAGAACAGGTGCTGGTATCCATGGTTGCAAGACCTGAAGATGAATTACATCACAGGACTCTTTGCAGACACTCCCCAGTACCACCCTGGGGCTCAGTAACTCATAAGAGCAAAAACAATCACGATAGTTCAGCTCTCAGGAAGACCCATTCCTAGGGGAAGGAGGAGAACTCC